GTAGACACAACTCCCAAGTTCAGGCTTTACATGCAGCACAGCACCATTCTTCAAATGAAACAAAAATATCCACACAGAATCTTTAGGTTTATTATTTCTGAAAAAGAATTTTTTGTTTTATTTTCTTAGAAATTACAAAGAAACTCTCCCTGGGAGAGCAAGCAACCTCAAGCTATTTCCAAGCAATTTTGTTACATATAAACACAATCAAAGTTACAGATTTCATTCACATGCATGTACAAAAACATTTTAAGTAAAACATCCTTCACACATAACATGTGCATTAGTCTCAGAATTGAGCACATAATCAGATTGGCCTCACCTACCCTACCTAATCTTATTTTCCTGTTTTCTTTTTAAATTGTAAATTTCTATGCGGGAAACATCTCTCCTTCTGCACAGCATTATGCATATTCAAATTGGTATGGACGGGCTTGGAATTAAATCGGTAGGCAGCACAGCCTGACATACAGCTGTACACTAAAGCTGTTTCACTGCCATTTACAGAGTGAACTTTGCTGGCCACCAGGCAAACTCTTCAAAAGGAATACAAAGGTATTGCTAGAGGGAAAAAGGACGATGAAACACAGTGCGCTCTCTCAACTACAGTCCTGTACGATTCCCACGCAAAACACTTCCAAAGCCAAATAATTCACAGATCTAGCTTTCTGAATTGATATCAAAGTTCTCACCAGTTTCAATCACGGCAAAATAAATCGCTAAAGGCATCAATGCTATTGGAAATGGATGTGGTCAATACTCAATATTCTAATTTGCCCACCTTTGGAAATAGAAGGCAGAAAGATATAAAAACCAACAAAACTGCAGACTACTGAAGCAGGTGTGGCGCCGGCAGAGTGCATTACCAGCAATCAGCAAAAAACAACTGCTTCATCCTAACCCACTGCATAATCTAACCGTGGCTCGAAATTGGGGGATTACATGGTCAATGAACTCCTCACTAGTTGCCCAAGGTTGCTTTCAAACCCAGCAAAATTTTACTTGATTCATCAAAAGCAACATATTGTCTGCATCTGACTTTGTGAGTATATCTGAAATTTCACTATTTCATACATGATGAACACCGGTGTAAATCAACAGACAGTAAATGTTCAGAGGGGAAGGGTTCACCCAGAATGTAAAGCTTCCACATGCATAAAAGGAAACATCAAGCACACAAATTTCAGAAGCAACACTTAATATAACGGGGTGAACAGGAGGTACAGATCTACCTTGCCACCATTTTTAAATGTACAAGTGATGCCAAGCCATTTCCCACCTCTACATAAACTTGCATCCTAGAGAGAATCAATAACATCTCTCGCTCACACTGAATCAATGAAGGGTGAATTTCCACTATATTTAAATATACTTGAAGCAGTCAGGCTTGGCTTGCTGCAGAGTGAGTGTTACAGGGTGAAATGGGCGTGGAAAAGGGAGGCAAAATACAAAAATGCAATTAAAAGTAAGACAGAACATCTGTACATGAGCAACATAAAGCAAGCACTTAAGATTGGCACTTAAGAGGTTTAAGCAAAGCCCTGGAGAACAGCAGATTTTAATTTTTAGCCCATGTGAAATCTTGCAAATGATCAGGTGATGCTGGCAGCAGTCACTGTCCTCTTCTTCCTGAAAATAGTGCAAGGGACTTAGGTGCCCCAGCACCAAGAACACATTACTACAACAGCCTGGCAAAGCATCTACAAAGAAAGGCCCAACGACACGTGTTCTCACACAGTATCAAAGACACAAGGGCCAAATCAAGCTGAGTCTTGAGGCTAGTCCAGCACTTTCTGCGTGTTGAGGAGAACATCAGATCTGCTGGTTTAGGTAAGATGGGCAGTCTGCTTTTAGCCCTGTACTGCCATTTCAATGGCAAGCTCCACAAAATGTGTAGAGGAGAAAAAGCACCAGCCCAGCAGGACAGTCTCCTCTGATTCCCAGAGAGGAAGGGCTAAAGCCAGGTCACTTCACTCAGACATCGATGGTGTGGATGGCTTCAGCTGAGGCAGTCAAGTTGAACTCACCTTACGGGCACACAAAGGAAAAGTAGACATTTTTAAAAATGCCATTCTTCTGATCTGCCTTCTACTTCAAGACCAGATTAATGGTGACCTAAGAGTGACGATTTCTCTTCAGGTGCAAATGGGGCCCAGTGGAACAAATTTAGCTCCAGACATCTAAAGCTGAACGAGAAGATACCACCCCGAATGTCCTTGTACCTGGCAGTAGAACAATTCAGCTGTGCTGTATTACTTCAAGACAAGTAGTTTTGCTTAAAAAAAGGTGTCATATAGGTCAGTAACATTTCAGTGACCATCTAAGCATTCTCCAGCCAGCAACCGTCCTACTCAAATGGAAGAAGTGCACACTCTTACAAAACTCTCTGAAGGATCACAGGGCATTTTCTGCGTAGTAACTAAACCTCAAACACACTTCTAAGAGGCAGATATCACTGTTTTCTCTTTTACAGCTGAGAAAACAGGGATGTTGCAGCATACCCAATGGAGACTCAGAGGGATTCAAAATAAAGATTTCCTGACTGGTCCACTGTTCTACTAGTGACTAGGCTTCAGATAGCTAGAATTTACCCCCCAGGAGAAACCTTTAAAACTGTGACGGCAAATTTTAGCTCCATTGTCCATAAAAGCCTGTGGTCACACATTCTTACCAGACATTGAAGAATTTTATGTTTGGATTCCACTTCTATAAAGTGGAAGAGAAATACAGTTAGGAAAAAAGAATTAAGGCTAGGCATGTTATACAGAAACAAAAATACTATGCCTGGAGCTCATTCTTTCAAAAGATAAACTCGCAATTGTAAGGATAAATGGGAGGTTTGGTAAATCTCCCTCAAACATCCCAATAGGTTACAGGTATAAAGCAAGTTTAAGTGGCTGTTCATTCTTGATTCATGTTCATTCTAGCTTTTTTGAGAGAGATACTCACTGAATCAAGTTAAAGACTGAGTTGATCAACTGAGGATTGTGCAGAGCAAAAAAAAATGTCATCAGTCAGCTGAGCCATAAAAGTAAACAGCAAAATAGATTCTGTTCCAGACTAAGTCATCAAGATAACAACTTTGAATAGGAAACACCAGCCTGAAGTCGCTGCCCTCAAGCCAGTGAGAGCAAAGGAAAAGTTTGCATTGCCAGTACTGGCTCATTCCAATAGTAAAAGCTGCTTCATTCTCTCCAGAAAATCACATCAATTCCCCTGACTAGAAGGTCAAGAAATCAACTAGAGAAGAAGCTCTGCTGGACTTGTTACTGATAGGGAAGAACTGATGGAGAATGTGAAGGTCTTGGCTGTGGCAGACACAGAATTGTGGCATTTAAAATCCTGAGAAATGTGTACAAGACAAGAGTCTCGGACCTTTAGGACAATGTATTCTCGTTTATTCATGGACTGCCTTGGCATGGTTGATCTCACTGCCCTGGCATTCCAAAGGGGCTCAAGAGTATGTGACCTTATCTTCAAAGACAGCTTTCTCAAAGTAGAACTGTCTTTTTTGACAAGCAGAAAGCAAAGCGCGCATGACAGAAAGCCAACACAGATGATCAAGGAACTCCTGACTGAGCCCAAACACACAGAAAAACGTACACAGAAGTGGAAGTGAGGACAGGTTGACTAGCAAGGACATAGAGACACAGTCCAAGCAGGCAGGGACAGTCAGGAAAGCCAAAGGTCACCTGGACTTGAAACCGGTAAGAGAGGTGAAGGGCGCGCTTTTTTTTTTTTTTTTTTTTCTTTTTTACATACACTGTAAGCAGAAGAAAGGTTAAAGAAAACAGTTTTGCTGCTCAACAGTGCAGGCAATCTGGTGACAAAGGATGCACCTTGTACTTTGAGGCTGATGTACTCAACACCTTTTTTGCCTGTTTTCACTGGTAAGGTCTGCCTTCAGGCTTGCTGCAACTCCCAGTCTATTAGCAGAGTGTTATCTACAGCAGAGGAAGATTGAGTTAGTGAGAACCTGAGCCAACAGGGCATACCTAAACCCATGGGATCAGACAGGACACATCCGAAGGCACTGAAGGAGCTGGCTGACAGCACTGTGAGGCCATGCTACAGAATCTTTGCAAAATCATCAGCAACATGAGCGATGGCTCCTCAACCAGTGAAATACCCTGACTTACCACTGTTATTCCACAACAGTTAGGAAAAATACAATGGGGGAAATTATTATTTCTCTCTATTCAGTGCTTGTTAGACCACATCTGAAGGACTGCACCTCTCACAAGAAGGGCACTGCAGCAATTTCAGTGGAAGGCCACAAAGCTGATTAGGGGGCTGGAGCACAGGACGTACAAGGAGAGGCTCAGGGAGCTGAGTTTCTTCAGACTTAAGAAAAGTCTAAGATCTCATTGTATACGACCACTTAATGGGAAGGCTAAAGAAGACATGGTCAGACTCTTCTCAGTGATGAACAATGATAGAACAGAGGCAACAAACACAAATCGGAACATGGGAAATTCAAAGTGGATGCAAGAATCTATTTTTTCTTACAATGAGGGTAGCTGAGTATGGGAATACACACAAACTGGTTTGGCATCATGACCCTTGGAGATATTCAAAACTCAAGGCCTGGAGCCACCTGTTCTAGTTAGCCATGCTTCAAGCAGAGGCCTGGACCAGAGACTAGAAACATCAGGACACCCCTTCAGCCCAAATTATTCAATGATTCTATAACTTAGCACATCTCCTCACAACTACTTTCCACTGGTAACTTCCTCATTTAACTGGCCAAAGCAGCCCATGAGGCCATCAGATGTGTAAGGTGATCTTCAATCTCGTGAGTCAGGATGGAGTACAGAAGCCAGCAAGGAGTGGAGCTGAAGTGCACTACACATCAAATGTCTCACAATAATTTTACACAAAGTCCCTCACACACCAGGGCCAGCCTTGTTTACATATCATGGCCATCGCAGTGCTCTCTTCAAGTGTTCATTTCAAGTCTGTTACATACCATCAGAATTAAATAAAAAGACTGTCTCTCCTCACATCTTCTTCATCTTCTTTTTGCAGCGCTGGTTGAAGACAGGTGAAGATCCCATGAGACTGTCAGCAGAATGAGAACCGTAGCTGCTCTCAGAACCGTTGGGGCTCTGTGGCATCCCAGCTTCGCTCATGCCTGACATTGGTTCCTCAAAGACGTCACCGCCTAGGACCCCGTGGCCATGTACATTGGCCTCCTCATTTTCCTGTGGCTCCATTTTCACTTGTGCCAGATTCCAGAGCGGGGAAGCATTCACCTCAGCCCCTAGAGAAAAAAAAAAAGCACACAGTAAAGTTATTGAGCAGAACCAAAGCTGCAGGTGAACAAGGCTGGAAGAAAAAAAAAACCAAAAACCAAACCAAAACGTGCCAACCTGTGTAAAACAACAGCAACAACAACAAAAGCGCCAACAGATTTTTTCATAATAGCCCAGTAATTGCTGCTTTAAAAATATGATTCTATCCTTTCACAGCAATCCTCCATGTGATCTTCTCCAGGTGAAACAACTTAAAAGAGCCCATATCACTACAAAAAGAGTGTCTCAGTAGCACTGAATATACCAACAGCACATGGACTAGACCCTGCAGAAGCAGGACTTATGAGGCAGTCCAGAAGTCATTCATGATTATGAGATCCTTGCAACATTAGCAGCTTCCTTTAAGCCATGAGATGTACTAGACTTCTGGTAGCTCTGCAGGGGAGGTGAAGTGAGAGGGCAGAGAAGTCGGTGGATGGACAGTCCCAAATGCCCTTTCAGTACTGAAATTCAGGGACATCAGAGCTGCAGCCATCCACCTGCCTCCTTGTACTCAACACCCATAGATGCTCCCCTCATCCTTCAGCAGAACAGAAACAAACTCCTGGTTCAACCTTGCAGACACCCCACAGAGCGACATCCCCCCTCTCCTCTTTTTTTTTTTTTTGTAAACTTTTTGGCTAGTGTGTAATCTGAAAAGATTGAAGATTTTCCACACAAGATTATGAAATCGTATTTCTTGATAATACCACATGCTTTTCTCCCCAACAGCAGTGATTATAGATTGCATTATTTCTGCTTATTTACATTTTTAAGAGAGACAAAAATCCTACTAAGAATACACTAATTTGGCTCCTTGCTAGGAAGGACATAAACAGCCTGGAATCCAATAAAGTCTGAAATCTCACTTTTAAATCTGGCCCCCCTTGTGCTGGGTTAAATTCACATGGAGAGGAAAAAAAAAAAGAAAAAGGACAAAAAACAACAATAAAAAAGGAAACTAGTTTTAGTAGGTTTTTCAAACCTTGTGTCTTAAGAAGCCTGGCTACAGTTTGAAGCCAAACCAACCCTCTTGCACTGTGACAAACCTACTATTATTCCCTATTATCAAAGCACTCCTAACAATAGTCCCTTAGTACTAGCAATTACACAGACAACAAATCTTTCACCACATATTTGTTCTGTGATTTCTCCTTATGAAAGAGTCAGGAATATTTACCAGAGCAGCTTAGTCCCAAAATAGGGTTTGGGAGGCCTTTGTGGTAACACAGCCTAGATTAACCCAGCAGCTAGATGGCAAGCCAGAAAGAAAGTGCTTGTGAAAAGTGAAAGTTGCTTGTGTCCAGTTGCCTCAAGTCCTTTTAATGTTAATTATAAGTCAATGTATCCCTCTCGACAACAATGGACGTATCATTAAAAGACTATCAGTATCACGGAGGTGCAGCTGCAGCCACACAATAATCGAAGGTGCTTGATAAACTGACAATGTCTTTCTTTCACCAGTTGCTCTTCACTGCTCAGCCTTATTCCTTCCAGCTCCGTCACCTGTCACTGAGAGTGTCACTAATGACTAACACCACTTAAGCACTGACACAGGACGTTTCATCTTCAAAGCACTTCAACTTCAAAGTACTTTACAAATGAGATAATCCCCACGTTATCCAGCTGGGTAGAGGAAAAAGGTCCCAAATTTTGCCTCCATTTCCTCAGCTGCAACGAAACAAAGCCACCGGCCCACAACCACAATGCCAGGCACAAGCAGAAATGCAGGCAGAACACAGAAGGCCGTAAGGAGAGTTTTTCCCTCCGACGCTGGAGCCCTGCTGCCCTGTTTTTAGGCCTTGCACGTGTTCTCAAGTTGCTGGCATCCTAATTGCAGCAGCCTTTTTCTCGCCCCTTACGATATTACACTCTTCAACCTGCTGAGCTCTAGACTGAGACTTCTCACAGTGATGAGATTTCCAAAGGCTCTTGTGAAGTGAAGAGGGATTTTCAGGGAGGAACAGAGCACTTGTATTCTTAATTAGAAAACATCAATTCGGTATCAGAGAGGCAAGAGGCATTTAATATACAGCTAGCACGCTAACCTCTGGATCTCAAGTGGTAGATGCTAATACAAAGCTTTCCAGATGAATCACTCACAAACCCAGATGGGCCAGAGGAGTCTGCTGTTCCCTGTTGCACAAAAATGTGAGCACTTCACATTTCAGAGGTACAACAGAAAACAATATGAGCTTCCAGAAAAACATCAGGTGGTTTTGTGCTTTTTTAAAACTCAGCAGAATATGCTATTTAAAAAAATCCAACAACTAGTAGACTCAGAGACATAATCTAACCTCATTATACATGCTACTTATTTTAGAGTTAACAAGAGGACACAAAACTAATTGGAGGGGGAGAAAAAGGGGAGAAAAAAATTTATCCAGTACTCTCTTTACTAGAAATAAAGATAAAATTCTAGTCTCTTTTAAACTAAAATATGTACATATATAAACCCAAAAGTTATTTTTTGTTTTGTTACATCAGACTGGAATAAAAAATCCCAGTACTCACATCTTTAGCAAACACTCTAGTTCACAAAACTACAATACAGTCTTTGGGCCATCACTGTAGAAAAAGATCTACCTCGGACCAATAACAAAGCTAAGAGGTTTAATGATCCCATAAAAATAAACACCAGTTTGTGTTATGCAGGGTCCACAAGTGGAGCAAATATTTAGCAAATCCTCGTAATTGATACCTTTGACTCTTTGGTTTTGTGTTTAGAAAACAAGCAAGGGTTTCTCCCCCATCCAATTTTTTTCATTAAAACTTGATTTCCACACACCTCTCCTTCCTTGCAATGGGATCTGCTATTTAAAATGGAAACAAGATCACATGGAACAGCTTATGGACTGTTTCCAGCAGTAGCAAGAAACCCCTACCTGAAGTCTGTGGAGAAGCTTCTACTTCCAGGTTGGCAGAGAAGCGCTCACTTTGAGCTCCAAGGACTCCAACGGGCAACGACTGGTCACCAGAAGCCAGATCTCCTTCCAGCTCCTCGCTTATGGGGAAAGTAATATCACTAACAGGTTCCTCCTTAATCTTCACAGGCTTTGTGTCTTCTGCTGCCTTTTCAGGGTTGACAATCTTCTCATACTCTTCAGAGAGCTGCTTGCTCACCTGTCAAACATCAGTGGAGGTGAAAAAGAGGCCAGAAAGGTCAGAGTACTACAGTGACTCTGAAGGCAATTACCTTGCAGGGCACTCTGTTCCCAGAATATTATTAACATCTGACCTGAATGAATAAGGAAACAGATTATCAGCTACACAGGAAAGATCTTTTTTCCCCCCCTTTAAGAACACCACCTGTCCTGTAACAAGAGACTTTAATAAGGGGTTTAATCCATTAACATATCTGCTTGATAAGTATAAGCACCTTTATTTCACAGACAGTGATGATGAGGCCCAGAAATTTCAACACAGCACGAAACAGAAACAAAATCTCGAAGTCCATCACAATTTCCATACTACATGCACTTACAGGTGTCTCTGATTTATACCACCTCAGTAAGCCACAAGGTGCCAACCCTTGGAAAAGAAGGAGCACGAGGTAGCTGCTCCAAGAAGAGTCAGCTGGTAGGCAGGTAACATGACAAGGATAAGGCACATCAGGTTTTGCTTCCCACTTCAAATCCTTGCACTTCTGTAAGTCCACAACATGCTGGCAGTCTTATATCATTCAAACAAAATGTATATGCTTCATTTCACAAAACATCTGGACCAAGAGAAACAAAACCCAATTATTCTTACAAACTACATTGAGATGGCACCTCTTATTCCAAGGAATTTAACAGCTTCTCTCCTTTCTCCACAGAAGCACAGTTCCCTCCAGAGTGGAAGGTAGCACCTGTGTGACAACTCAGATGAGCACAATACTATCCTATACCCTTAAAGCTTAAACAAGCCACCCCTTGCTGAGCAAACACATGCCACTGTACAGCCAAGTAATTTTTGTTCATCTGCTTACTTGTTATCTTAAATGTTCAGCAGCCAAATATCTCACTACAGCAGAAAATTCAGTTAATGACTGATTTTAGCTCTACTTCATACTTTTGTCTGGGTTATTCAAGAGCTGGAGGCCTCCTCTTAAACCCAGACAAACCACCAGCAGAGCATTCTTAGAAAAAACAAGGCTCTCTGTCTTTACATCAAAAAAAATCCTGTTTCTCTTCTTCTTGATGACTCCCCTCCACACTCAAGAAGTTTTCTCATTGGATTTTACTTCAGTAAAACCAAGGACTCGCTACAGGAGTAAGCAGTTGTACTAGGGGTACATTTATCGGCGCTGCCAGGTCCCTACTGCTCTTCTCACCTGAAGCATGTAGCTGTGATAATCCTTGATGCGGTGTTGCCAGAACTTCTGCAGTGAGAGCACGCTGCCGATGCCCACTTCGTGGAAAACCTGCTCCATGACATCAGGGAAAGGTGTGTGCCCCAGCCGAGCTTCTCGATCGACAGCAAAACGCAGCAGTTTGGTGAATTTCAAGCAGTACTCGTGGGCAATATCCGTCAGGGTCTCCAGGACGCTCTCGTTGGCGGACTCAAAGCCTGTGTGAGCCAGGATGGTGGCCATGGACTGGTAGAGAAGCTGCCGGCAGGAGGACCAGCTCAGCTCAGTCACTGGCTCCCCTTTTCCTCTAAAAACCAGAAAAGATCAAAAAATAGCACACCTCCAAGAACTGAATGGAAAATATCAGTTGAAGAGAGATTGTCAATAACAAGGTGATGTACAAAGGGAAAGCAGATTGTTTGGAGTTCTCCACAGCCTCTCTGCTACATGTGGACACCACCCAGTAAGGGGTTTATCTGCTTTCCCTTCTTCCCCTCCCTCCAAATCAACACTGGCAATTCTCCTTTTGCCTTCTAATGCTGGAAGTTTCCTTGGGTGATGCATGGATGTGGGATATGAATCTTCTGAACTTTTAAGCAACTCCCTTTCCACCCAGAAGCCTTTCTCCTGGAGATGTGAATTAAATGGGTCTTGGACACAAACAAAAAAAGGCATCTTAAACAACATCTATGCAAATCATTTCCCCTCTCAGTTACAGTTCTCTTCCTTATTACTTCTGATGTCACAGGCTTAACAGTCAGATACAAAGGCTTCTGGGGTACACTTCTGAATTTATAATGCAAAAGACACACATCAAAAGCAAGAAATGGGATACAGGTACATCTCATAAAGGTACATCGTAGCCAAAAAGCCCATTTCCCTGCTCTCCCTTCCAGTAGTCACTAAGCACAACACTGAAAGTATTCTCATATGGAACCTAAGCAGGAAAGAGTGACCTCACAGGATGGAGGAGAAGGAGAACAACTGACATGCGCATACCAAACACCATCCATGTGCAGACAGGCAGCCAACTGTTTCATCACAATGAGTTAACAAATATAAATTCCACACAGGAAAAAGAAGATGAGATAAGGCAAGGCCTTATGTTTACATGTTATATAAACATTTTTCCACTAGATTTCTCAGCTCACAGTTAAATGCATGTAATGTGTTTGCCCATATCAGTCACACGGCCTTTAAACAACGATGTCAAAAAAAATCCAATTTCCTTTCTGCTAAGTACGATATTTATATATCTTTTTATACTTCATTCAGCACTAATGGCAGAATTAAGGTAACAATTTCACCCTTCATTTGTTTCTGATCAATTTGTCCTGACATCTTCTGCAGCCCACCCCAAGATTCGCCTCACTCTCACCCTACATTACTTGTGTATTACCACACCCTCTTTCCAGTCACAAAATCTGACTAAACAGCACACAGACAGCACTGATGCCTTGATAAAATTCTCACTACTCTTGTTTCTCCAACAAGTGCATTAGGTAGCCTTCAGTCTCTCTGCAGTGAGACGTGTCCTATAAAGCCTCAGCTCCTCTGATCCTCAGGACTGACCCATAGAAAACCACCAAAACACAGCAGTAGAAAGAGATGACATTCCAGGGGAGTGAAAATGGAAGGTTAAACATAAAGCCATCAGGACCAAATCATTCATTTTCAAGAACACCAGCTCAGCACTTTCTGATTGTTCAAACAAAGTGGGGGATCTTGCTACATTAAGAGCTGCAAATGACGATATTTCTAAGTGGATATTAAGAACAGCATGTGGATCTCAGGTCATGGATTCATCCCAGTTACTAATTGCTGGAAAATGATGCGCATCCCAATTCCTGCTCAATTATGTAACTACTTTGTAACGAAGACAGCAGGCGCTCTGACAAGATGAATTAAAAGATCATCAGTTCACTTATAAACCAAGTGTCACCCATACTGGTTTTTACATCCCACTCACTCCCCCCTCCTCTTCCCAGCGTCAGATTTCCGAAGTTCACAAACAGCCACGCATCTTGTACAACACCACAACCAGGAGGTTATAACAGTAGAAAAAAACAAACCAAACATCAAACAAAACCAACCAGAAAACAGCCATCAAAATCGTGCCTATAAAAAAGAATCCCTTCTTTTTTTAACATATATAAAGGGCATACCTAGCTGTCCAGCAGCCATCAGCTGAGAGCACCTCATGCTACCAAAACCATAGACACCAGACTACTGTTAATACAGAGACAAATAAAGAGCCATTATTGAAGCTCTGCCATTCAGTCAAAACACTATGGACAAACTTAAACCAGACACAGAATTTGACAAGCCCAAGTACGACACTCAGCTGCTTGTAAAGCAGAGCACAAACAGCCACTTAACAGTGCATACCACTGCTCAGAAGCAGTAGAGAATGTCCTATCTCTGTTAAAATCCTTGAGGAAAAGAAACTAATTGCCAGCATTAAAATCGAGCTATGTCGCCGTACTGACAGGGATATAATCAACTTGAAATCTAATCAATTAAAGACAGAGAAAAAGAAATTTCAGGTACAGTACTCAAATACAAATCCCTACCTCTTGCTCTTGGTAAGGTCAGTCAATTACATCTTGTTTTTCTTATGTTTTGTTCTCTTGTTTTCCTGTTTCCCACAATAAACAATAGAGGAAGATGATTAAAAGCCTGATTAGACAGTAAAAATTTAAATATTGTTGTGGATGGTGATGGAAAACAACAAATGAGAAAATATCTTGTTTTCTTCATCTCCTTTAACCTTCAAGTAGTGTCTGATAAGAACGCACTTGACCAAAACTAGACATATAGACACACTGAAGTTGAAAGCAACTACCTAATGCCAAGTCTTCCCCAAAAGGGGCAGCAAACTTATTCTCCCTGATGATTCTAAGCAAAGAGCCTCAGCCTTCAATCTCATCCAGATACCTAGCCCCTACAAAAGTATCCTTCCAGATACTACCCTCTGCAGCACTTACCACTTTCCTGAAAGGCTCCCCAACCACCTAAATTTAAGACTATTTAACATATTACCAGGGTCACATTGCTGCAAGTAAACAAGGGTGCTTTGATCCCTAGAATTCTGCCACCAGATATTAACAAGACTAGCAAATTAGGCCTGTGACTTGGAGGTGAACATCTCTACAGAATATATAGTACGAAATTTATAGCAAATAGTGGCCAACTTTTAGCTCTTCAACTTTGCATTTCCAATAGGATCTGTATTTTTACATATGGGTCACCAACTAGATGATGTTCCAGACTGAAATCTACCTGCCAAGCCCCAAGTTCATCAGACCCAAAGCCTTCCCCCACCGCTGCCAGCAAACCTGCAACATCGGAAAAGTCCATTTATATCAGCCAGGCTTATTTTCAGGATTAATAAAGTTTCAGAGCTCACAAAAGGCCCATCTTCTATGGCAGCAAGACATTCCCCAAAGGCAGCACAACCCGTGCACCCAAGCTCCCCTCCTCTAAGACTGTTTTTCTTAGAGGGAAGGAGATCTCACGCTTCATTTCCCATGCAACCACATCCAGGAGGAAGTGTTTGGGCTAAGCCAGTACAAGGATCGACAGCTGACGCTCACTCAGCTGCAGTAATGGATTGAAGTGCTCTGCTCCATCCTAGGTGAGCATGAGCTAGCAGCAGATGGAGGGAGGGATTGTTTTTCCTAGGAACGCATCAATTTTATGAAACATTACATTGTGGAGTTGAATTTCCACCAAATGAGGTACAACAAGGTCATTTCGCAGCCTTTTTCCCCAAAACAGCAAAATAAAGGAGAACACCCGAAAAAAAAGTGATTATACTAGTCAGTGCATCAAAGAACACAGCACACTAACTCAAACCAGAAAGCTGTTTCTTTTTGGAAAAGGCCCTCCTCTCCACCTCATCCTGGGTAAGCTTCTCTTGAAATATCTCTGCCATGTCTACAGAAGGCTGCACACATAAAAAGAAGCTGCTCAACAGATAAAGGCAAGAGGTAATAGATAATCTTCCCAAAATAAATTGGTCCCACTGGCTCAAGCCAAAAGAGCACACAGTTTAGGGGCTAAGTCGAACAGGGGAAGTATATTCTGCCTGCTTTAATTTCTACTGCTTCAAACTCTTCCCAGCATTACACCCGTTACCCCACCCACATGTGCTTCCCTGCTTCGGCAGAGACATTTCTTAGCTACAAACCATTCCGCCCTGAACTGTCTTCCCACTGCAACCCAAGTTGCATTCACAGATTATCTTTTAATGCAAAGCACAAGTCCTATGTGGTCAGGAATGCAAATGAGAGAACGGCAGAGAAATCTGTTCAGAAAACAGCCATGCACACATGAGAAAAAGCATCTGAAGAGGTGCATTATGAATAAGTTTGGGTTTTTTTCTGAAGACGGATCTGTGCTCATCTGAGGAAGCTGAACAGAGGAGAAGGAAAAGCTAGCAGCCATATTATGCTAAGAGTTTCCTGTTCAAATGGTAGTTTCGGGTCTAGAATTCCTTATTCATTCTTCAATTATGCTTTAAGATTACCTTCTGTTTCTACACCAACCAAAACCTAACGTTGATCCCTTATTGTGTATTCCAAGAACCGTAACATAAACAGCTGCAAATCACCGGGACCAGATGGCAATTCATCCTGGAATACTAAAGGAATTCAAGGACGAAATAGCTGAATAGCTGCAGCAAGCCACCCCTTGCTTTAAACTGCCTAGGCTCATGAGGACCAGAAGACAGAAAACGTGAAAACATTTTCCCTTAATAGCTCCAGAAGAGGTGTGAAGAACTGCAGACTGGGAAGCCTGATATATCCTGCTGCATGAGAGAAATTGAAAGAAATAAGAATAGAATTAGAGGACACAAGGGTAAATAAGTTACACTCAGAAATAGTCCAGACAGCTTTTGTAAATGGAAAACCTCCTTCACAATCCTACTAGAGTCCTCTAAATCCATTAACAAGCAAGTATGTAAGAAATCTCCACTGCAGAACCCAGACATTCCCTCTGGGATCTGTACCAGCATCAGGATTTGTTTCAACATAGTTAAAAACAGTCAGGAAAGACAGAGGAGAGGAATAGCATAGTGACTAAAACTGCTGGTGACAGGGATTTTGGGGGGTTGAAAAGACCAAAACAACTTAAAAATAGCAGTAACTTAGGTTCTGTCTCTTCCTCATCTGGAAGGGACAAGGAGGTAGGGGTTACAGGTATGGGGCGGGGTGGAGGGGAGGAAAAACAAAATGAATCCAGGGGATAACAAAATAAAAGACAATGGTGCGAGATCAAAGGATTAAAATGAGTAACAAGGAAATAGAAGAGGATGTGACTATTTTAAAGAAAGTTGTGAGCTGATTCAGCCTGACCACTTTTATCTTCCTTTCTCCCTACGTCTAAATATACCTATATAATGCTTCTCAGACCCAGGCTACTGCCAGAGAAAATGGAACTGAAATAGGCATTTAGTCGAATACTGTAACTCTGACAGCAGCACTTCAGAAGGCAGCATAAAATTAAGCACGATTGTGTTTTATCACAGGAAAGAATGATCTTCCTTAAATTGTTTTTACACGCGAAGAACAAGCACTGGCAAACCATGTAACTTTATTTTTACTACTACAGCAGCAACTGCTCTTGCTAATTCATGTAAGTGCCTTAAAACAGTTAAGAACAAACACACAACAACAAATGCAAAGCTTTCCTCTTGGAAAAGCATAAATATGTTTGGTTTAGCAAGCACATAACTAATTTCTAGTCTACACTGCAGCTCATTATAAATCCACTCTCTATCTGCCGCAAAACATTTCATACCAAAATTGCCTATCCAGTTTTTACAATCTAGTCCTTAAACTCCCCCATGTGGTTGACTGCTAAATAACATTTCTTTACTCGGACCCCCGAAATTCACAAGGGACAATAAAAAGACAAAGCAGCCCCAAAACATGGAAAGAGCCACAGACAATTAAACTTAAAGCTGAAGCCATTGGGGAAGACAGAGTAGAACACTGCTCAGGTTCTATGAGCCACAGGGCCAGAAAGAGCAGGAGTCACAGGGCTCAGAGGTATTCTCACAGGATTGTATTTCCCTTCACCCCTCTTGGCTAATTACTTGATTTCTTCCAAGGATGATGATGTTCCCCCAAAGATAACACTTAAAAAAATCACTTTGCCGTTCAGAGAGACTATGCTACCAAAAGCATCTTTGGTCAACAAAACGCATTTTATACAACTTGAGGCCATTAAAGGTTTCAGTGGCATTATATCTCATTGATGCACATTTTCCTCATTTTAAAAACTAAAACTTATTATCCTCTCCCCCATCGTGTTCACTGGTGCACAAGCTTTAATCTAAGAACAGAAGTTTACAGTAGTGAGGATTAATACTGAACTTAAATCCACATAACCTACAAAGCATCATGAGCTCCTGCAAGAAATGCAACGCCTCCTTGAGAGTCTAGTGCTTGACAGAGGGGAAGACAGGGAGGTGGTGGCAATGTCATTTAATCCAAGATCGGCTGCAGATGTAAAAGCAACACAACTTTTCTTTATATTTTCACCAACCCTTGGCTGGTAGAGCTAGTATCAGAGACAAGAACTCCTTTCACTCATTGTTACCTTTGAAGAGAGTAACACCAACAAACAGGGTGAAATGTGACAGTTACTATGTCACAGGTCCTCAGCTACTGAAATGTTACAAATATGTTAACAAACTGTCTTTTCAGAACCTACAACTAAACAACTTCCCTAGGTGATCCTGCCCTGGCAGGGAAGTTGGACTAGAGGACCTTCTGAGGTTCCTTCCAACCCCTGACATTCTATGATTCAACTGATGCCTAATCATGGGTCTCCTGGACGTTCAGTTACACTAAGGCAAGTTTAGTTATGACCTAAAGAGAAGAGACTTCATATCCCCTAACTAAACTTGTCAAAACACCATTGAAGAAAGCAAAACCATGCACAAACACCTACCACAGCACTAACCTGACACAAATCAGCACCACACATCCACATTTTCGGAGAGAAGCCAAAAGCACATTTATTTTAAACAATGCTCGTGTTATCCACATAGGAGAAATAAAATTCTTTCCTTTTCAAAGCCTGTTTTATACTTCATATACAACTGTTCTACCCTTGAGCCTGAGGGAATCACCATAACTACACACATATTTAAAACCACTCAGCTTTCCTTCAGCCAAGAACCAACCCAAAGAAATACCAACACACCTGTAGAAATCACTCTCTGGGTCACTGTGCCTCAGCTGAAATGGCATTTTGGGGGTTTTGCTATCCAGGGGAAGCAGGTCGTCAGGGAGAGGTGGAGAGGCCGGACGAGATGGCAGAGGTTCGTTATCTTCAGTTTTTATGCCCTCTGCTTGCTGCTGGTTTTGAGCCTGAGCCATGGCGATCAGGCTGCGCAGCCGCCTGTTGTGCTGGATGAGCTGGATGGTGTGGATGGTGAGGCTGCAGGGCTCCGAGGGGATGTCCAGCATAGTGGTTGGCCGGGGTTTGTTGGCAGACGGCTGATGCAACGGAGGGTCCTGGACTTCCACAGTACGAAACTCACGCTGAAGCAAGTCAAAGGAGCTGCGGTTGGCCTGGTTAGATGAAACCGGAATCTCACCCCAATATCGCAGCATTTTTACGCTGTATTTTTACACGTAATGTCCCCAGGACCAAGAAGAAGGCTACCAAACACCCCAGTACAAAGGAGCCCCGTCGCAGGGAAAAGCACCAGGCTTTGGGCAGCAGCTGGAGCTGGAACGATGCTCTGAATAAAGCAAATTTCGACCGTGGAGAAAGCTTGTTGCTCGGTGCCTCACGGAGCAGGGCGGTTTCCACGATTCGGACACAACGCTGCCACTTCACAGATCACATCGGTGCTTCTCCTGGCGGGGGCAGGAGGGCAAGGGGAGGGTGAAGAGAAGAGTTAGATGGAA